TGGGAGGGTTGAGAAGCTGACTCATTCTGTCCCTTCTCATGGGCTACAGTCCTTGTGTGCACATTTTAGAAGGACGTTGGTAACTACACAAGGAAGGCATCAAATGGGTGCTGGATAATGGTTTTCTGAATGAGTCTGCTTTAAAAATTCTCAGGAAGTCTGACAGTGAGAGCAACAAATGTGCTGGGTAGGAAACCGAGGGATCAAAGGTTCTTGATTTCAAGCCTAAGTAACTGGAAGGACACCATAGAAATAAGGGGCTTGGGAGGACCCCATCTGATGGGGTAGTGAATCGTTACTATTTTAAACGATGAAGAGTATTAGAGAGTCTTCGGGGATTTCTCAGAACTGAGTCCAACCTATAAGGTCCATAGACACCAAGTCTTCTCTCAGTGTTTTGTTTCTTAAGGGATTTTGAAGAACACAGAAAAAAAAACCAGGATTTTATTCCAGAATGCTAAAAGAGTGGCTGGCCAGAATGAAATCAGGTGCCAAGACATCAGTTTGTAGATCAGTGGTGTGTACTTGCCTTACATGAGGTCTTAAGTTCAAGGCCCCATAATAGAAAAGAAAAAAAAAGGATTTTTTCTTTTAAAATTTGAGGTCAAGAAAAAGGGGTAGAAACAGAGACTTATGAGGAAGGGTATGATCAAAGTCAGATTTTATATGAGAGGATCAGGAACCAAGATTAAACACTTATGTCAAATCTCAGAGTAAGTGGAGAAATCAAGAAAGTGAAAAGGAACTGCTGCTGAGGTTGGAGAGTGACAGAGAAAAAGGAATCGCAAGATACAAATGATCTGATCAAGGAACGGAGAAAAAGGGGACTCTAACTAGGGAGGAGTGGGGATAAATACCAAAAGGAGGGAGGAAGTCAATGTAACAGTAAAGGTATCTAAAAAAACTCATAAGGAATCATACCATTAACTATTTACTTAAAAAAACTATAATACATAAAAGTCTGAGTATAAATATACATACGTAGTTTAAATAAAATTTTCTCGACTGCACTAACAATGCTCCCTCCAAGAACCACAGGCCATCTAAAAAAAACCCCATCACCAGGAACGAGAAGCCCTCTTTTGAGTTGCTCGTCAGGGTTGTCCAAGAGACTCCCAAATCATTACAAGGCATTACTATTGTCCTTGGTTGTATAACAGAAAAGGAGGGTAAGTCCATATAGCTGAACACACCGTGCACTTCAGAAGTAGGGCCTGGAGGTCACAGACCTGACTCCCTGAGAACTAACTTTCATTGTATCAGAAGATATCAAGCAATCTTACAAAGAAGGGAAGCAACCAACAGTCCTATCTAGCCGTGAAGCCTATAAATCATATCAGTGACCAGGAGGGCCCCTTAACCCTAAGGATTCAACAGTGACACACATACCTTAGTGGTAGCCAACTGCTGTCTAATTAGACTTAAGGCCACTAAACCAGAAAGAAAAGATGTCTGGTACTGGAAACCTGGCTGACGATGAAAGCTGGCAAAGTGATGGATCTTGGAGGAGAACCTATAACCATCACTTTGCTAAAGCAGCATCATTCCAGCCAACAAGTTAAACACTTGTGTTCTATGGACAGTTAAGTATAATCCTCACTTCTCATCAACAAAACTCTCATTGCAACAAAACCCAGAAACAATCAAAAGTCAGAGTTGTGAAGCCTAGTCTCAAGAGAATCCCTCTACAAAACAACTCCTGTACCAAAGGCTCAGGGGACACTACAAAAGAGGATAGAAAGTTTATAAAAGCGGAGGATCAGGGAGTATGCTGTGAGACTATATCTCGCAGTACGGTGAGGATGCTACAAGAGTGGCTGGCCAGAATGGAATCAGGTACCAAGGTATCAGCTTGTAGATCAGCTTCACGCTCATAAAGCCTTGACTTCCTGAACATGAGCTGAACAATGACAATACACATACTAAAGTGAGTGGGCAGTGGAGGGGTCCTGGAGCCCTCAAACCTACACAAAGAACTACAGGCTAGTAAGGAATGCTGAGAGTGGGAGAAAGTCTTCCCCATGGAAGAGCACACCAATTGGTCAGCCCTTCAAAAATATATACAAATAACCTTATACTTTATATAGATGAGTATATTATATTAGGAGTACATATGTATATACAAATATATATTTATATGTGTATATACAAATATTTCATATATGTATGTGATGTGTTTATAAAAAGATAAAGAGTGTATGTTCTGTGGGTGTGTGGTGAGGTATGGGGGAAGGGGATGTCTCAGCAGGGCCATGTTGAGCCATCTTGTCCCCCTGAGGGACCAGCCACACACCAGCATAGTATAGAATAGAGTTTATTCAGGGCATAGGGAGGGGAGCAAGGAGGGTAGTAGAGGCAGAGAGAGCCAGAGAGAAGGGGGGGAAGGGG